CGGGACCCAATCACAGTACGGCACGTTTGCCTGATTCCCTATATAAGCAGCTGCAGTTTAGTCCTCGCCGCCCCTTACCTCCCGCTCTCCCTTAATCAAGAGGCGCTCCAATAAAGTGTGTTCTGAGAAGGATCCTCGCATGGTGGTCGTTCTTCCTCGCTGGCCGAGGAGCGCGCCGCAACTGGTGCCGAAACCCGGGACGGGAAGGAAACTTTGGACACCAGGTGAGGGGTCGAAGAGGATTCAGAACTCAACACACGGAGCGGTGACGTAAGAAAGTTCTCCAGGAACGGTGACGTCGGTAAGTTCTTCAGGAACAGTGACGTCGGTAGTAAGTTCGCCAGGAACAGCTACGACGTAGGTATGCTGATTACTATAAGGGGATTAATCCGCAGCCCTTCACTCAGACATGGTAAACGGGTATCGGTAATGCGGGCCCTACCGCCACAAAAAAAGGAATGTTTATAGCAGAGCTTTTGTAAGATTTAAAAGCCAAAAACAAACAAAGAATAAAAAAAACACCAGTAGAGTAATGTAGAAATAAACTCTGCTTTTGTTATCAATGGAACATTATTCAGCAATTAAAAGGGAAATCAGTGATTCCATACAATAATGGGTGAACCTCAAAAACATGACACTTGGCTAAAGAATCATCACACAAAGCTATCACATGTAAAAGTTCTTCTAGAACTAGCAAAACTACATTGTCATGGGTGTGAGAACAGTGGGCAGCTACAAGAGCTACAGTTGACTGGCTAGAGGCACAAGAAAACATATTAGAGTGTTGGGTTTGAGTTATATGAGTGTATGCATTTGCCAAACTTACCTAATGTTTTTAAGATTTATGCATTGTATTGTGTATGAATTTTACCTTAAATTAAAAAAAAAAAAAGACTACAAACAAATGTTGGATCCTAACTATAAATACTTTTAGGGAAAAGTGTGCTAGTATTGGATGTTGTTTTCATACCCATGAACACATATGAACTGATAGATGTCCAAGCAGAAGGATAATTGGGTGGAACTGTTCTATAACCAAGCAGGCTTAGTAAAATGTAGGCAGGATATAAAGTTTCTAGCTGAGCATTCTTTCAACTTCTAAGTTTGATTATTTTTATTATAAAATTCCAGAAAAAGAATGAAAGATGCTTGTAACAGTTAACACCCAGGTAAGTAAGTTTGGCTATTCTTAAATGCAGATCAGCTAGCTGCTGGGGGGATGTTCTGTATGTTAAATGTGTTGCTCTGATTGGTTAATAAATAAAACACTGATTGGCCAGTAGCCAGACAGGAAGTATAGGCAGGACAAAGAGAGAGGAGAATTCTGGAAAGTGGAAGGCTGAGTCAGGAAGACGCTGCCAGCCGCTGCCATAACAAGTGAGATGTAAGGTACCGGTAAGCCATGAGCCACGTGGCAACTTATAGACTAATAAAAAATGGGTTAATTTAAGATATAAGAACAGCTAGCAAGAAGCCTGAGTCATTAGGCCAAACAGTTTGAATAATATAAGAGTCTATGTGTTTATTTTATAAGTGGGCTGTCAGACTGCAGGGGCTTGGTGGGACCCGGAGAGAAAAACTCTAGCTACAGCTAGCTATGAAGGTTTTACAACGGGCAGAGCTATTATTATCCTTACACTTGAGAATGACCTCCGTGCCTAAGTATTCAAGGCAAGTTGTAAGCAGAGGTGTAGACAGTATCTTCAAGCTGGGTTATCAGTTATGCTGACTTTGAGGTTTACTAGAGTGTCCGGAGGTAAAGATATCTGTCCAGGTGACATTAGCAATGGGCACATTAGGATTCCGAGAAAAAGACCATGATGGAGATATGGACTTTGGAAGTGTCAGGTAAAAGTCATGGCAATCCAGGAGAGAATTAGAGAAACACCCCTGAGGGCACCAGCCCTTAGGAAGTGACTGAGAAAGAAAAGCAAGGCCATAGGACAATGTTTAACATTCTCCAAAGAGTGCAGGGAAAAGTTCACACACAGGAAAGGTCACGGCTGCGTTGTTGGAGTGTGAAATTGGCAATGTTTTCATCGAGGAAATGAAGCATCTTTTCAAGCAAACAAGGGAGATAAAAAGAAAAGGAAAAAATGAGAAAGGCTCAAGGCTTTGAGAAGAGCTCAGGGAACTTCAGGCTATGTCTTTTAGATGCTAGATTGAGGGCAGCAATGTGATAGCCTTAACAAATCTGAGGTGGTTGGTGTGATGAGTAATCTTGATTGCCAGCTTGGTGGGATCTGGAACCAAGAAAGAGATACACCTATGCGGTGGGGGTGGAGGTCTTTGAAGGTGTTTCAAGAGAAGGATTCGCTGGAGAGAAGATCCTCCCTCAGAGTGAGTGGAAACTGGCAGGAAGTCCAGATAAAAAAGGATCCACAGGGAACTATTTCTGCCTGCCTAGCTGCCTGCTTTTTCTCCTTGCTGCTGGGGGTGTCTTTCCCACGGCTGTGGCAGCGATGATGCTCTCCTTCCTCTGATACTGGACTCTAGCTGCTTCAGCCTTCCAAACTGGACTCAAGAGCAATGACTCTCCAGGATCTTCTGGTGTTTAGCATCACACTAGAACTGCTGAGGCATCCAGTGTCATTGCCTGAGAAGCAATGGGTGGGTCCTCAGGCTCTCCAGTGTGCAGCCAGCCATTGCTGGACACCCCATCCTCTACTGTGTAAGCCATTCTAGTAAATCCAACTACACATACATCTGCCTGTTCATCTAGAGAACCCTGGCTAACATAATAACACAGTTGGTGTGTAGACAGGGGGCTGGGACAGTGTGGCCTCTGAGGTTTCCTGATGTAAACCACTACACTTCTTCACTTTAGGGCCAGTTAGGGTCAGCTGGAGGACCTGTTGAACCACAGAATGTGGGTACTCCCACCAGAGTTTCCAGTGTGCTAGGGGGATAGATGAGAAATTCAACTACGTGAATCTGGGCAGAACCTAATGGCTACAATATCTAATATGACACCAGATGATGTGAACACAGCAGGCTGGCTACCACACTGAGAAACACTAGGGTAGAGGAGGAAAGGTGTCACACAGCTTCCAGAGTCGGCTTCTCTGCTCAGGTCCTCCTCAAGAGAGGTGCTTCTCCTATCCACTGCCACATACATCCTTCTGATGATGGTGTAGATGACCGCCACATCCTTCCAATGACGGTATAGATGGTCACTACATCCTTCCAATGGCCATGTAGATGGTCACTACAGCCTTCTGACATTCTTGGTAGATGGAGTCTTCTTAACTAAACTTTACCTTGTAGAAATTTGGGGAGTTTCTGAGGCTAAATTCTCCTTCACAAAACAGGCTCATGATTACACTGCATCCCACGATTTCTGTTTTGAACACCATGGGGACATAAATACAAAGAATTATCTACTGTGGAATTCCTCCCCATCCTTGGCTGTCACGGAGAGACCCTTGGCTAGAGGAGATTAATGGGCTGAGAGAATCTAATACAATATTTATTGGTTGTTTGGACACTCAGAAAAAAACCCCACATTTACATCAGTTTATCATTCTGCTTTCATGACAAGCTAGTATTGTTTAGATCAATAAAATAAGCAAGCAGACAGTGGCCGTGGTATATCACTTTTCATAAGAGCTCCTGGTAGAGACTCCATGTACCTCTCCTAACAAGATGTTAAGTTTCTGTTTATTTCAAATTCATCTCATCTACAGGTCTGCAACAGATAGAAACACAGTCTACTACTGAAACTAATTGGGAGTTTTAATGTTGCTTTTTTTTTTTTATTTGTTGGAGCTGTTTTATAGCAGTTAAGTTTAGGATGCCTGAACTTTGAGAAGATATGTTCTACTCTTCATACTTATCAGAAACTTGAAATTATGGGGGTCTTGAGGTGTCTGTGGTGGCACTCTGGTATGGGAATAGCAAAACCTACATATGGGGAAGATAAGTGAAAACCTAACGCCGTAAGCCTCCCTGATATTGGTACAGAAGAAGTCCTGGGCTGTCCCTGTGCCCACAAGAGGAACACAAAAGGAAGGAACAGGGATCAGACTAATTAGTAGCAGGGACCATGCAGCCTCATAGCAAAGATCTTGGTGGGAAGGTTGTCTAGTTCATTGATGGCAGATTATAATTCGGAGAGGTACTCCTACCGCAAAAATAGAGAAAAGTATATAAACAGTAGAGATGGGGTGAAATAGGTCAGATACATGATACTGTGTACGCCCTATAAATGACATACATGTGAAGTGGGTCAGCTGACTGTGAGTCAACAGAAAGGTGAAGGATCCAACTCCAAGACAGTTAGAGAGGCACAGTCACTGTACCCATCCTCTCTTCCATTCTTTCACCACATAAGATTCACTTTATAATAAAGAGATTTGCCATGTCCTGAGAAGACAGCAGTTCAAAGAACCAAAGGGCCAAGTTTCATGAACTTTGATCTGATAAAAACGAAACAAAATAAAGTCAATGATACTCAACCTTAGGACACAACTTGAGCAAGGAGTGATATGATGCTCTCATGGAGGATTCGGAAGTCTGTCCAGCAAAGGGTTCAACTTGATGCAGTAGCAGAAATCCAGATTATGAGTAGATGCTGCCAGAAGTAGACTTTAAAACAAATAATATAAGAAGGAATTTTCTAAAACAAAATGAAGTCTCTCAAAGAGCAGAGTTTACAATGAGGTTGCTGGTGTTTGAACTCCAGTCCCCTCATGACCTTTAACCCACTCGGTGCCTTGGCTTTCTAATCGGCAAAACTGACACTAAGAATAATGTCTGCTGATGGGTTCCCATGAGACAGAATGATTCAATAGTCTTAAAACGATCAGAACACGGGCTGGCACATACTAAGAGCACGATAAATGCCAGCAATTGCAGTTATGGTCATTATTATCACTATTGCTGCTGTTGATAAAGGACAGCCATGAGGGATGGCATGCACTTTCTAAGGAATGGTTCCAGCTGCGGTGTGCATTCACCACATAGGAAGTCGTGGTACAAGAGCCAGCAATGTTAGGACAGTACGGACACAGAATTAGAGAAGGAGTGTAGTTGACATTAGTCCACCAGCTTGGCCTCCACATCTAACCGTATTACCACTACACTTACTTTCTAAGTGAAAATATTTTTGTTTTTGTTTTTGTTTTTGTTTTTTTTAAAGATTTATTTATTTATTATGTATACAGTGTTCTGTCTGCATGTATGCCTGCAGGCCAGAAGAGGGCGCCAGATCTCATCACAGATGGTTGTGAGCCACCATGTGGTTGCTGGGAATTGAACTCAGGACCTCTGGAAGAGGAGTCCGTGCTCTTAACCTCTGAGCCATCTCTCCAGCCCCGTCAAAATATTTTTGTATTAGTCAATACAATAAAGCTCTCCTCACCCCCAGAAACATTTATGTCAGTTTTGTATTTTTAATAAACAAACTCCATGGATGGTTTGTGCATTATCACATAAAACAGCAAACGCCTTTTTAAAGTATTTAAAATCGTGATAAAGGAGAGAGAGAGAGAGATTTATTCTTCTAATTAATTCATATTAGATACTTCATATCTATCAGATCTATTATGCCCTGTGATGGGCATTAGACATAATTATATGAACACTAATGAGTCATATCCCCACCTTCCAGGAATTTAAAATTTGAGTAGATTGTGGGAAAGAAATCACAAAGTATTAATCAACACTAATCCAAATAAACCTTATTGAAACCTTCCAATACTGAGGTCTATGATTTGAATGTGAACTGTCCCCCAACAGGCTCATGTGCTTGATTGAACATTTGGTGTCCAGCTGTCTGGAGAGGTTATGGAACTTGGGGGACATAATGACTAGCTGATGGATTTGGCTACTAGAGGTGACCATTTGTTGGATCTACCCCCTGAAGCTCCAGTCTAGGTCTGTTCCTTCCCTGTCATGGTGTGACCCGCCACCTCATCCTCCTGTCCACTAAGCTGTCCTTGCTAACACGCCTTCCTTGACATAGTGTCCTGAAATATCCTGAAGCTGTGAGCCCCCAAAGACCTTCATCTCTTAAGTGACTCCTGTCAGGCCTTTTATCACAGTCATGAGAAACACAGCCAATGCACATAGTTCATTCTTCCCACGGTAAATAGGAGCAAGCAGCATCCCAGGAGAGAAATTCAGTACAAAAAAAAAAAAAAGGATACCAAATAAATAAAACCCAGTGGCCTAGAACCAGTCTTAAAGTTGTAGAAGCATTTAAGTTAAAGGTACCACAGGTCACTACAGTTTTGAAAAGGAAGGCATAAGGGCAGGGCATAGCAATCCATACGTGATAAAGCAGAGTAATGTGTACTGAAGAAAGAAAATAGAAATTCTCTAACTAAAATACAGTACAGAAAATAAAAACTAAAGCTGACCCAGACGTAATTATAGACATTAAATTATTAAGTCTCAGTATTAAATTCAGACCAGATGGAGTCGATCAACAAAGGGTACAAAATACAGACTGTTGGGCACTCTTCTGAAAACTGCATAGGTTGGATAAAAGATCATATACTTTTTCGGTGAAAATATTCTTTTCATACAACATATTCTGATCATAGTTTCCTCTCCCTTATCTCATCTGAGATCCTTCCTACCTTTCCTGTCCACCTCCAAGCCTTCTTGCTGTCTCTCTCTCTTTAGAAAACAAACAGGCAAACAAAACAAATCAACCAGCATTCAAAAAGAAAGGAAAAAGCAAGAGAAACGCAAATATACATGGACACACGCACATGTGTGCGCACACACACACACACACACACACACACACGCACACACACACACACCACATGCACATACACACATATAGAAATATGACACAAAGCCAATAATTTTAAAGATGCAGCTTCAGCAAAAGAAATTAGAGGTAAAACAAACATTTCTCTTGTAATCAGTTTTCATACAATACTGATGGAAAAGAAAATCTTCCAGGAAGTCATTACGTAGCACTTAAGACATGTACGGATTTCAGACCTCCAAAGCCAGATGGTATCCATTGTGAGGCCCCGGAAGGCTTCCCACATGAGTGGCCATAGTATGGGTCAGGGCATAAAATACAACCTGGTGCTGTCTCCTTACCTAAGCACAGTGTTCTGCTGGGAGGCTCCCTTGAATAAAGATTTGAGGACTGTGTCTCATCATCTACTAGTCCAGGGGAATTGTTCGGGGGAAATTAGAAAGTCATTCTGTTCTCAGGAGATACAAAAAAAATTAAAAAACTCTGAACCTCTTGAATTATCAGACACTTGCTCCCAAGCCTAATGGAATCAATATGCAGGTTGCAATCTTGATATATTCCGAGGTTAAAAAATAAAATCAATATTCATTTTAAATTGTTTCTAGAGAAAGTGACTGATTTAATATGACTTTCAAACAGTGATTCTCACGTTTACTTCTTTTTGCAATCAAATTTTTTTTAACAAAAACTATGTATGACATCCAGAATTAGGAAAGACGCTTGAAACAAGGTATTGTAATATACCCATTTTAAAGCATTTAATAAAACATTTATCTCAGGGGCTATAATTAATAATGTGATCTTACTCAAAAAGATCTAAACTAGGCAAGCATAATGAGAGTTAATCCAACACACTTTATGTTAGGATTCAACCAGAGAACATAAGATGAGCGGTTTGAAATGGCATTATTTATTTTGCATTATTTTATTCTGCAACAGAAAAGATTTGAGATTTCGTTGATTACTCTCAGTATAATCTCAGTAGCTCCGTATTCTAACCAATATGTGCTAAATAGTAAAAGGAATGCTGTATGAAACTGATAGCTACAAAAGTCTGCCTAAAAAAGTACTACTTTAACATTCACAAGGCAAACGTCTAGACCATCACGTCAAAGATTATAACGGGAAAAACCAGAGGGACTTCTGTTTTGAACCATTAGTTATATTTGTCTCCATAAAAATAAAAATTCTATCAATTTCTCATAAGTAATGTGAAGTTATCAAGAAGCTAGGTGTTAGCTGATTACTTGTATAAAAGGTAGCATTCATTTTTCTTGCCCAGTATCATCAACTGGAACCCACAGGCACCAGAGACAATGCCAACTTGGAATTATCATTTGTTGGCTACTAATGGAAGAAAATTCCTGGAAAATGCAAGATGTGACCACCAATGGGAGGTATTTACTCTTGAAAGATTTTCCATATGAGAAAGTTCCAGTCTCTGGTCTAAAAGATCAGTATACTTCCAGGGGAACCCAAATCTGTGTATAAAATAAACTTAATTGAGAATGAGATGTTTGTCTCCAGGTCAGAGAGATGATATGCTATGCTTTCAGAACAATCCTATTTTGTTCTCATTGGACTAAAATAAAGTCAAGCACTTGGCCTAAGTGGCTGCTGCCCAGTCACATGCCTGTAAGTTGTCTATGACCTAACATTCATAGAGTCTACAGAGCAGACACTCTGCCTACAGGGCAGGGACATTTCATTTTGAGGGATAACTCACATGATGTTCAGCAGCTATTGGCATACTGAAAACTCAACTCCCAACAATTAACCTTCTAGGGTAGGTAAATAAGCACAATGTGTATCTTTGCTACAGTGAAGAATTACCATTTAATTGTGTTCATACCTCTCAGTGTACATGATCAAAGTTTGTAGAAGTTGATGCTATTTTTTTTTTAAAAAAAAATCCTGTAACAGCTTTAATAAAATGAAAATGCCTAAGCAGCCCTGCCCATGGAAACCTTCCTTTGCATATCTGACTTCTGAAAACACATATTCTCTTTGTAGTGCTCAGACAAGTTGCCTTGAGCTGGGAACAGGAATAGAGGTCAAATGAGAAAGGAAATCTAAACTAAATCAGATACATTTCATTTGCACCAAGAATTTTCTATCACACTTGTCTCTATCAAAAATCAGCCTATCTCTCCAGTTTACTTTCCTACTAGAGTAAAAATTAGAGTTTGCAAATTGTAAATATAGGGGGGAAAGATAATTTAGAACACTGTTTTATCACTGTCGACCAGTGGTTTTCATAAGTGAATCCCACGTATTTTGAGAATGTCATTATTGCCTTGCAGTGTTTATAGAGCAGAGGAGAGCAATCCCGCCTCCACCAAAGGGCAGAAAAGAAACTGAGTGACCCAGGGAAGGACACAGTGTGACCTGTTCATGATTAAACCCTGAAAAAGATAAATTGAGTTAGGCTAGCTGCCTGAGTGGGAGGGAAGTAAGGTGTACACCGACAGCATGGTCCCATTTCCTGAGGCTTCTCATTCCCCCGCCTACCCTGATGGTGCCAAGGTTGAGGGTTGCTCCTTTCCATCAGGGCGCAAATGTTTTCTTCCGTGCGGTCGTTAAAGCTGCAAGAATCTTGTTTGCTGATGGCGAGATGCACTTCGGTTTATCGCTTTGTATGCAGGGACAGAAAAAAGGCAAGAGGAGTTTACTCGGGATTTCAACATCTGTCAATATCTAGGCAGAAATTTTAGCAGCTGAGGTCAATCAGTCTCTGGGAAATGCTAAGCAACCATACCAAGGGCTCCCAACTAACAGTGCCTCCGAATGTGCATGACCAGGCATATTTCAGTATGCGCTGCCAGGCGGTGTTAGTAATGCGAGCAATATGCAGCTCACTTTACTTGCTGACTGGCTTAAAAAGAGAAAATTAAATACATTTCTCATAAGGATATTTTGTGGAATTTTTCCACATCATTAAATAAAATGTAGCCCCGGTTTAAAGGCATTTCCTGAGAGAAAACATTTCTTAACCTAAACTAACTGAACTATGTGAAGCAGTCTGCCTGGGTACGCCATAATATTTTTTTCCTGATTACACGTAATGGGTCTCCTATCATCCTGCAGGCTTACCCATATCATTGAATTGTTTCATAGCCATCTGAAAAAAAAAATTGACTGCAAACTTTTTAAAGCGGTTCTCAGGAAATGGGTGCTTATTCGATTTTCTCCTCAGAGCTACAAAAGAGCGGATGGCATTAGAGATGACATTTCTAAAATAATTAAGAAAAATCACGACAGGCTTGCTTTGGGTAGGTATACACGTTCCTCACAACTTTAACATAAGCAATGTTGAATATGCCCCTGCTTCCTTATTGTGCAAAGGCGGCAGGCAAGCTCAGATACGGCAGACAGAAAATGGTAAACAGTGGTGTGGAATCAAACTGAAAATATTTTCTTTTGACCAAGCTGCAGTTGAAGCCAGGGCCTCGTGCACTGGGCAAACACCCAGCTAGGGAGCTACACACACCCCAGTCCCTGAATGCTTGCTTTCCTGTGCTCCATCAGAATGTGTCCTTTTGCCTACCTCCCAAGGAAGCCAATGTGCATCGAGATTGAATCCATTCTGAGTGGAGTTTTTGCAACACCCCTCTAATTACTTTAGATCCTCAGCGGGCTGAGTTATGACCTCTAACTGCCTAAGTTTGTGGTCAGGGCCTTCCTAGAGAGTAAGATGCTGCATGAAGCTTATGCATCTTTTTTTGTTTTCCATTGGAATAGCCACAGGAAAATAGACTCTCGGTTTCTTTGTCTAAGTCAGAAGTTTTCTATTAAGAAGAAAGGAAAACTTATCCTCCCAAGAAGATAGCACATATCTTCTCTTTAATCCCAGGAGCCTTCTGGCCGATTTGAAAGTCAACATCAGACAGGAAGGTAAGGCTTTTTTTGTTTTGTTTCAATCTTAACTCTCACGGTTGCTCACACTGAATCAAGAAAGCAAGACTTTCAAACTAAGTGGAGAACTGAAAAAATAAAGAAAGAAAAAAAAAGGGAGATGTCTTTTTACAAGGTTGTGTGGGATAACTACTGAGTACACCCTCAGTGGTAACAAAGAGAAGGTAATGTTCCCACCAGAGGTGATGGCTACACAACAATCCACAAAGTAATGTGTAGGAAGAGAAGGAACCCCACCCCCACCCCACACACAGCATAAACCCTGCTGTTGTACTGTGTGAACTATTTCAACTCTGGGGTTTTGACGGAGGTGCCCTCAGAAATAAAAACAAAGACAGGTTCCAAGGATCTTAGGGATTCTTGCTCCATATAGGCATGCATGTGCATGCAGTCACCCGCACACAGTAGATGTGGCGTGGGGACAAGGGTGCTGTGTCTAATGAGAAACACAGAACAATATTCTCTTCAGGGTGCTGGATCAAATTCCCAGTCTCCTAACTAGGTTAGGACTCTGCCCCTGCTCTGGGCATTGCCTTGTGGCACACAATAACCTCTTGCTCCATTCCTATTCCCTGTAAAAATAAAACCTTCGAGAAGAAAGAATGTCCTATTGTTGGAGCAGAATTATTCCTCCAACTTCTCAAAGAGGAGGTATTTTCAGCATCTGGGAAGAGATTGTGTCCAGAGGGGCTTCTTAGTTTTACAGCTGGGTCCACTCAAGCCGGTCCAACAAGCCAGCATTACATAGAGGAGCCCAGCCAAACACAGGCACTTCAATCATGCTCAATTCACTGGGGTTCTGGTAAATGAAATAAAACCCCAAAGCTTGGCTTTTTATTTTTCTTAGGGCAAAGTCCATTTAGAATGGATATAATCGCTCGCTATGGTTACATATGCCACATTTATTTTTAAATAGCTCCATATCCCAAGGGCTCCTGATTTTCATCCACACGGCAGGTAGGAAGACTGCAGGAAAAAGAATTTTCAACACAGTCTACATTTTATCTGGTACAGAAAGCACATGTGGAGATGCTCACGCAGCCCGGTGAGGGACTGAGCACGTTGGCAACCAAGCCTTGTGTCCTGGAGAAAGCACCCAGCTGCAGGAATGGGGTGGCTAAAACATATCCTACAATCTGCTGGCCACACTGGCCATCCTGTTGCAGGGTTTGCAGCTGCAAAGTGGAAGAGCCTACCCCTATTGTATGTAAAAAGTTGCCCACTGTGACCTTTCCTTATTGTGAGGCTGTGTGAGAAAGTCACGTGAACGGACCAGTGTTGGCCCTGACTCAAGAGTCCTTCATCTGCTCTGTGTTTCTGGGGAAGGTAGGGCAGTTGGGGGATGTTTTTCTGCTAGGGAGAGCTCAGGTGACAGAATTTTCTAAGCTGAAGAGAAGCATTGGGGTAAGACATGCTTCCCTCGTAAGCGGTAATTTGTGTTTTCTGCGTTTTGCCTAACCTTACCCAGCCTTGGTGCTTTCTGTCGCTCTTATCAGTCCCCTGCAAGCCAGACACCAGATCTGACTCATCTTGGAACACTAAATGAACTCCGATTGAGTCTCTCTAGTTAAAATGGCCCGCTGACCAAGCTGGCTGGTTGTAGATCGTTAGTCCTAAGCAGAGGTTAATAAGTTGGAAGTTAGGCACCATGTTTTACCTACACGTTCATGTTTATAAGTGGTAAAATTTGTGTTCTTGGCATCTTTGGAAAAACTGGAAATGCTGGTGGTAGACGGAATTTTCTCCGGTCCTGCCTTGCCCAGCGGTCCGGATCAATCTCTCCCACCTGCGATCCCACAGCCGCTTATAACATAATCACTCAGAGGCTTGTATTAATTACAAACTGTATGGCCTACGGCTCAAGCTCATTATTAACCAGCTCTTATAACTTAATTCAACCCATTTCTATTAATCTGTGTTTTGCCACACGGCTTCATGGCGTTACCTGTTCTCTCACATCTTGCTTCTCCTGGCAGTGGCTCACAGCGTCTCTCCTGACCCTGCCTTTCTCCTCTCTCTATCCTTCTTGGATCTGCCACCTGGCTCCATCCTGCCCTGCCATTGGCCAATGCAGCTTTATTTATTAACCAATAGGAGCAACACACATTCACAGCATACAGGCAGACATCCCACAGCAGTTGGTGACATGAACTTGCTTTGTACCATGGTAGTGATTTAGCCAGAGGAGAGCGGCCGTTTTCCTTGACGACCCAGTGCCCACTGGGCCCTACCCCTTCTTGTGAATTACCTGCCTTGCTTCTCTGGGTACAGAGTTTAATTAAGTAGCAGCCACTGGAATAAATGATCCAGTAATTCCCCTTACACGTGACCAGCTGACCCATGGCTGCCGTGGTGTCAACCTCTCCTCTCAGGCCCTGTGCCAGATGGTTTTCTGGTGACTCGAACCTTCAGGGTCCCCCAGCCCGGTTATTCTAACAAGATGTAACAAGACGGAGGTGGTTGCTCCAGCCACGGAAGTTCTCTTCCTTGAAGAAGCAAGTCCCTTGCAGGCTTCGGAGGAGCTCTCAGGGGTAACACATTTCGTATGACATCTCACAGCTGATCATAACACGTGGGCAGCGCCGAGTGCCGTCGAGGAGGCTCTCCAGCAGCCAGAAGGAAAAGCATGAACACGTTTGGAGAATTGTGTTTAAAAAGCATGACAGAAAAGAGGCATCAGTAAGAGCTCCAAGCAAATAATTTTAGGTCAGGGTAAATACAAGGTTTACTAACTTCAATTCAATTTTCTGCACACATACTTAAGGGCAGAGTCAGACCCCCCAGCAGAAGACAGATCGGCAGCTTCCTTCTTATGCCTGGGCTTATTACGTGATGAGAGTGTTGTCTCTCGGAGACTCTGAAAGACTGAGAGAAACAACGGTCCGTCTCAGATTCTCTACCAGGACCCGTGTCACAGTGAGGCTTTCAGGTTCAGAGTGTGCACCAGGAGCCCCACCTGGAGAGCAGCAGAAATCTTCGTTATGTTTCAGGAGATATGAGGGAGGCTGTGATCCAAGCAGATAAGAAGCGGTGAGTCTGGAGCAGAGAGCTGTAGATCCCCATAAAGGACTGCCAGACAGATCATGGAATTGAGCAGGGTGTGTATGTGTGTGTGTGTGTGTGTGTGTGTGTGTGTGTGTGTGTGTGTGTGTGTTTATGTATGCACACCCATGATCATGTGTGTGTCCATCTGTTTGGATGAACATGCACATAGGTACACATGAATGTAGAGGACTGAGTTCAACACTGGGTCTCATCTTTCTCATTTGCTCTCTACATCATGTTTAGAAACAGGGTCTCTCACTGGACCTGGGGCTCACCTATTCAGCCACACTGGCTGGCCAGTTAGCCCCAAGGACCATCCTTTTATGATACCACCAACCTCTACCTCAGCACTGGGATGACAGGAATAGAGCACCACAGGTGACTTTGTGTATGGGCACCAGGTTTAAACTTGGGTCTTCCTGAGTGTAGCTTTACCTGGAACTTTTGAAAAAGAATGGAGGAGGTGTGATAGCTCATCTTCTTCTTTTTCTTTCTTTTCCTTTTTGTCTTCTTGAGACAGGGTCTCTCTACATAATCTGGCTGTCCTGGAACTCACTATGTAGACCAGGTTGGCCTCAAACTCAGAGATTCATCATCCTCTGTCTCCCAACTGCCGGGATTAAAGGTGTGCGCCACCACACTTGACCCTGTGTCAGCTAATCTAGGTTGTCAACATGACTGTATCTGTCATCAACTATAACCCAAGCAGCTGGACACGCCTGTTAGGAGGTTTTCCCGATTGCCTCTTTTGGGATGGGAAGGCCTGTCCTAAATTCACATCTTTGGAAGTAGGAAGATCCAGTCTAACTCTGGGACACACCTTCTGGTAGCAGCCTATATAAAAGGATATGGAAGGAGGAAATTGATGTTTGCCTATTTGCCCTCACTAACACTGCTGGGGTTCATCTAGCCTGCTTCTGAGACACTTCTCCAATAGTATTATCACCTAGTTCTTTGGGAGTTGAAGACGAGCTAAGACATTCAGCCTCACAGACTGAGCAACTATTGGACTCCTGAACTTTCCATCAGGAGACAGCCACTGTTGGACTAGCCAGACCACAGTCTGTAAGCCATCCTAATAAACCCCCTTTAAACTTATATCTATTTTATTCTATCACTTCTGTTCCTGTAGGGAACCTGGACTAATACAGGAGGAGAGAAACCCTTGTGGGATAATGACTTCCTAAGCTCTCTCCAAAGCTGGCCTGGTAGGGATTTGAAGTTCAGCTGTGTTCCATGTGGACAGCCAAAGCATAGGTGACTGAGTGAGTGAGGAGCCAGCCTTCACCTTCGGGGCAAGGGGGGCATCAGATGCTTGGTCCTAAGCTACACTTGACCACTAACCTGTTTCCGGATTTTTAGTATGGTAACTGGCCTTCTGCCTGAGACCATTAGATACTTAGGGGAAAGTATTGAGAGTCATGGTCTGGGAATTCTGTTGTTGTTGGAGGGTTCCTGGTAGGCTGGAGAACTTAGTTGGCAGGAGTAGATTAGGAATAAGGCATTAAGTATTCAGTACTCTGCTCAGGTTTAGTTTCCTCACATTCAGAGTAAAAGAGTTTTGGAAACAAAAATGGGATTCTAATATATATGTATAAAGAAATGATTTCAGAGGCTTTTTAACAGTGTAGCATAGACTAATGGCTTTAGTCAAAACCCCCTAAAATGTTTTAGCACCTCTGAGAAGGACTTAACTTTTAGCTGTCCGAGGCATACTAATTATTGAGGTAGAGTTAAAAGTTATTCCGTGGTCAGAGAGGACAGGGGGAATGAAAACAGAGAACCAAAGGACTGTGTCGTGCTTTTCATGGTCATTGAATTAACAAAGGAACGAGCCAGCTCTGATCTACTTCTATCTTCAGGTCACCCCGGGCTTCCACAGCACAGAGAGACAGACACACACTTCACAGGCGCCGCCACCTTTTCCATTAGAGAGGAGCTGGAGGAACAGAATTCTCACTTTCCACCACTTGCTTAAAACACTTGTGTGTTTCTGGGGTGCCCTTCCATGGATGCATCAAAGCAGAAAACACAAAGTCTTCAGAGAGGAGAGAGAGAGAGAGAGAGAGAGAGAGAGAGAGAGAGAGAGAGAGAGAGAGAGAAGGATATCTTGGTGGCCTCTTCTAAAGCACAAAGGCATGATTTTGGCAAGGAGCTTTAACCCCGTTTCCCCAGATTGCAAAGAGAGCAGAATGTGAGTGGTTGTAGCTAAAATACATGCCCGAGAGAACGGCCTTTATCATCTGCTTTTGAAGGAGGGGCTGAGAAGGACACAAAGCCAGGAAGAGAACCTACGGGGCTAATCGGGTACACAGAGCCCTGTAGGCACCAGGACACTCAAGGAAGGAAAGTTCTATAGTTCAGACTTTCTCAGCGATTCAGGGGGAGCAATGCATTAGTACATTACGATTTCCAGACAAGAATCGGGGAGATGTTGAGAGAGCCCCCAATCCTGTTCAGGGATATCTAAGTACACATCTCATGATTAGCCTAACTGATCTAATACAGTGCTTTTTCCTAGCTAAGTAAACAAATCAGTGAAAGGCTCTGGGCATATTGCCCTTTGAGGTCTTCTTTCTTCCCCCCTTGAATAAAAAACTGAAATATCATAATGGTTATTAAAGTGTGGTGTTTATTTTTAAAAACTGGATTCTGCTTGTCCTGTTAGGAAATAATAATACCTACGGAGATTCAAAATGAAAAAAACTGGCTTATTAATACAATACCTCTTTCCTCCTAGAAAGTAAAACGTAGAAGTATTCATTGTACTCACACGCTGAGGTTTTCCCAGTAACCGGCTGTTAGTTTTACTGTTAGAACTACTCAGTTACAAAGCCCAAGGAGGTGGTGTTCACCCTCCATAGCATCAACGGCTACATCCAACTGCTTCTGCCGTGGTTCCTAGAAAGCAGAAAGGAAGGGTGAAGAAGAATTACCACTCGGATGAGAAGTGCCACAGGCTTATAAATATCAGATGTATGGTGTCCTACTTTCGTTCCTGTTCCCCGGCATTTCCTCAGTTGTGCTGTCTGTGAAATGGGCTGCTCTCCTATCTGACAGGCACTGTAAGGAAAGTGTGATTCCTGCCATAAAGAGACGCTCGATTGTTTGCTCTCGGCCTTGAATTTTATCCCGGGCCAAGTCTCATTAGAACAAGAGGTATCTTTTTAAAGAAAGATTTTGGAATACTGTTTCAAAATGGATAACTGCCAATAAGAAGCTGTAAGACATTGTTCCATGAATTAGCCCTGCTCACCTCCCCCAACACTCCAGTGATAACTAGAATGTACTTTAAGAAGGCTGGATATATAATAGGACAGCCAAAGAGAGAGGGTTTCAGATAAACTAATTAGGGCCTGGAGAGATGGCTCGGCTGTTCTCTGCTTTTCCAGAGGACCTGAGTTCTGACCTCAGGACTCATGTCTCACCCACCGCCACCCGTAACTCCAGCTCCAGGACATGTGATGCCCTTTCCTGACCTCCCCAGGTACCCACACACATGCGGCACACATTCATTTCGATATACACAAATACACACGGGTAAAAATATGTCTCAAACTCATTAGTCATCTTTTGAAACTAAATATTTTTAATATGATTTTAAAATAGAATGACAACAGCCTTAATTTTTTAATATTTTTAATTTATACATATATACAATGTCTTTTTAACATAACCACCCACGCTCCCAACTTTAAGCTCCCAACTTTAACTCTTCTGACGCCCCAACACATCACCCTCTCAACTTCAGTGTCCTCTCTTTCTCCTCCATCTCTCCCTCCTCCTCCTCGTCTTCGTCTTCCTCTTTGTCTTCTATAGCCTACTGAGTTCAATTAGAGCTGCCAATACGTATGTGGTCCTGGGGCCATACACCCACCGCATCCTCGCATGGAGTAGGGACAGATCTGACTAGGTCCCGTGAGGGGATAAAGAAATTACAGACAGACACGCACAGAGAAA